GTCTAAATCGTGATCGATTACTTAGGAAATACATAAATGTGCCAATATTCTATCTTGAAATGACTTTTATTTTAAAAGAGATGTTTGTAAAAATTATTTCAGGTATCTTAGTTTGACCGGATGTAAAAATTATTTCAGGTATCTTAGTTTGACCGGATGTAATTCTTGTTAAGAATTCTTATATCAGTACAGAAATGAGAAATGATTTCTTTGTATATGGACTTAGACAAATCTCTCCTCATTAGTTAGCTTTTCAGGTTGACTTGGATTCAAGTGTCATATCTTTACATGACATCAAAGTCAAGTTCATCATAATTTGTTGTGCATCGATGTTGGGCCCCATCTATAAGTGTTCACGCTCAAGTTGAGGTGTGGGTGTCCGGGGGAGTGCTAAGTAGTCCTACATCGATAGAGTGATAGAAAAGTTATCTCCTTATATGGACTTGGACAAATATTTCCTCGTGAGCTAGCTTTTGAGGTTAAGTTAGACCCAATTGTCACATCTTTACGATTTCTTGCACTAAGATCGATCCTTAACTCGGGACCCAATTCTATTGACCTTGACCTGTAATCAATTACGATTTCTTGCAATAAGATTTTCACCAAAGAAGATTGAGTATAAAAAAAAAAAGTAAGAAGTTGAAGAAATTGAAAGAGAATCAACATGTACAAATATATATATAAAAATTATTGAAGAGGTTCGAGTGAAATGACGTTATCTAACTCCGTCTATGATTGTTCTAGAAAGTACATATATGTAAATATATGATTATGATCTATTTATAGTATATATTTAACGTTCAGATATATTATTTCTCATCTTGGTCATAATTGATTACGCATGAAATATATAAAAGTGGTGAAAATGAACTATATATTTATAAGAAAGAATAAAAGGATTGTTCCATCATTTTCTCTTTGAATGGCTTTTTAATTTTGACTTTGAAAAAAAATAATTTACGTGTCCTAAATTGATCCGCATGTATTTAAGATATCAAATATATAAGAGAGTGACGAGAGAGATAAGGGAGGCGAACGAGATTTATTGATGTATCTTATGTGAATACAATATATCTAGAATAAATCACACCTAACTTTGACCACATGTATCGAGACATAATATCTGGCGCGCCATACAAAATCTGATAAGATTTATAAGTACTATAAATTAAAGTGTATTAAAGTAATTTATTTCCTAAATTAATTAAGTTTATATAATTATCTCCTAAATTAATGAAATTTATGTAAGCTTCTTTTATATATATGACTTTGCATTTGATTGATTTTCAATTCCTTCTATAGTAAAGAATAAATATTCTTTTTGTTCCAATTAGTTTGACACTTCTCCATTTCTTATTCCTCCCAAAATATTGATACTTTTCTATATTCATATAGTTTTAATTTATGGACTCACTCTTTTGTTGTTATGTTTAATCAAATGACAAATGGAATAGAAAAAAAAATTGAGAGAGTGTTTTGAAAAGAACAGTAAGTTCTAGTTATCACAAATATCACAAGGAAATTCATTAATATCAGAGATGATTGAACACCACCTCTTTCGATATGCAAATGTGTCTCAAAGAGGTGGTGTTCAATCATCTCTGAAATTGAAAAACTTCCATCATGCTCGCAAAGAGGTGGTGTTCAATCATTAATATCACAAATATTTGACTATTATTGATGATTTCTCAAGATGTACATTGGACTTTTCTTTTAAGTTCAATTCTCAGCCAAAGCAAAGATTCTCAATGCTTTTGAATTAGGGAAGGGGGATTGAACCTAAAGCTTTAATTCCTTCAATCTCAGGGTATATTACACCAAACTACCTGTGTTGATACTCCACAACAAAATGGAGTGGTAGAGCGCAAACATAGGCATCTATTGTTAATACCAATCAAAAAATTCACAAATCAAAAGTAAATATTGTTTTGGAAGTTGAATGAGGAGTAAGCTCTTTAAGAAATAAATATAGAACAATAGATAATAAGTTATAGTCTCGGTACAGTAAGCTCATTTCCTATCATTATCATACTAAAAAAAAAAGTTGTTCTCAAATTGTTCTTATTTTGAGTATCATCTTCAGCCATCACAGTAATATGCAGAGAAGACACCTACACTTCTTTCGAGGAATCTGACACGTATGTATTGACATTTTTGAAGAGTCTGAGCAACTTGCTAATCTGTGGAGTGCGAAAATGTTTGAGTCCTCTTGTCATTTTCTCTTCCTCTAAAGTCATTTCCTCTTCTTCGAAAGACAATTCCTCTTCCGAGAGGACAGAAATTGGTTGTTTGAGCAATAAAGCTTCAAGGGACATTGAATGGCAGCTGCTGTTTAATTCGACACAAGATATCTGAACAGAAGACTTTTCGAGCAAACAAGATGTAAGCTTTCCAACCACAAATCTCTGAAACTTTCGAGTGGAGTGATGATAAGAATAAATAGGGATGAAACTAGAATCATCATTATCGTTATCGTTGTCATTAGCTTTAGGATTAGCCAGCAGTATCTCACCTGTTGGAAGATTACCAAAACTACACCACATATTTCTATTGCATCTCACGAGTTCTTCAGGTAAGTTAATGGAGTGTTTGTTCCATCGATGCCGTTTATTCAATCGCCATAGATTCAATATATTTGAACCAGAGTCGAGGCATCCCACAGTAAACCTTCCCATGAAGTTCACCATTGTAGCTGCTGCAACTACCATCTGTGCAGGTAGGGAGATATAATAGAACTGATATCGTGAAAGGCTAAATGCGAGTATCTTCCGGTGACTCATTTCCTTAAATTGAATCAACCAATACAGAATCCCGTCAATGCAAATGCTAGGTTTGCACATCACATCACTATCTGGTATAAAATCAGGGCTGAACATGTTCATCCAAGAACGTGTAGTGATGATATCGCCATTGAATTTGTTCATTCCTCCTAAAGTAAGAACCTGTTGGTATATTACATGATCAGCAAGGAAACCAAGGCTTAGCAGCTTGTAGATACCCAATCGATCAATTCCAAAATAAAATTGAATTTTACGAGTCCATCGGGAAAACCTTGGAAGTGGTATGTCTCTTATTTCAGAAGTGTAGCAATTGCAGAGCGTGAGTACACCGGTGCGACCCGCTGGTGTGTACGTACAAAAGAGTCCATTGATAACTTGAGTCAATCCAATTTCTGCATATTCATCGGCACCGCCCACCAACTGTTTGATAAAATGTGTAGGAGAGATATTGTTCAGAGTAAGCTTCGATTGGAACAAGTAATTGAAACTTGAACAACCGAAATTGGATACGAAGATGCCTAAATTGCGAGCATGATGAAGTTTTTCAATATCAGAGATGATTGAACACCACCACTTTGAGACACACTTGCATACGTAGAGAGACTTCAATGGTAGACGCAACAAGATCTCGATTACCGCGCCTTCAGGTATCTCCATTGATTAAAAAATTTATTCTAAACAATTTTTAGGTCTTCTATTCCAACAATATTGGGCCAAACCCTACCAGAATGAAATAACATGGGAAAATTGTATATATAATAACAAATTATTAATTCAAATTAAATGTTATAAATATTTTTTTTATTTAATTGTGTCCTATAGCAAACTATAGCTATTTTCGCCACTTTCCCGGGTGGAATTTCGCTTGTCAGGTGGCAGTCTCGCTCGCCTCTCTTGTTTTTTATAAAAACTCAAATGTATAAAATGCGTTTGTATTTGTATAAAGCGAGAAGAAATTGTATGAATACATATAAAATTGACTCTAGTAAAACAAGTATAAGAAAAAAAAAAGAGATAACAATAAATATAAATTAAATGAAAACATAACATCGTTCAATGTGTGGTTTGATGGTTTTGACCTTTAGTGTATTTGAGGTTGCTAGTTCGAATCTGACTTGACTTTTTTAGGCATAATACAGAAATATGTCCTTTAACTTGGTTTCAAATTACATTTATACCCTTCAACCTTGGGTGTGCACAAGTAGACACTTAAACTTGTATAAAGTTGAACAAATAGACACACATGTTTTACATGTCATTTTTTGTCCTACGTGTATTTTGCTATGTAAGACTCATTTGTTTATTTATTTAAAAGTTAGATAGTTAAAGTGTCTGTTCGTGCATTATTAAAGTTGGAGGTCAAAATTAAAATTTGAAGCCAAATTTAGGGTTCAATATATGTATTATGCCCGTTTTTAATATATCATTATTGAAAGAAATAACAATGAAAAATTACTATATTCATTTTCTACCAATTAGTTCACCCATATAATACATATTTGTAATCTTGAAAATAAAATAGGATGATTTATAAGAAGCTTTTTATACCAATAATATGTAGTGTAGTTTTTACTAACCTTCCAACAGGTGAAATACTGCTGGCTAATCCTCAACGTAACGATAATGATGAATCGAGTTTCATCTCAATTTATTCTCACTATCTTGAATGGTTCAGAGGTTTGTGCTTGGAAGATTTACACATTGTATAATCGGAAAGTCTTCTGTTCAGATATCTTGTGTCAAGTTAAACAGCACGTCCAGGCACACTCGAGAGAGGAGGAATCGAATCCTTATTGGATCCTCATACTACAGAAAAAAAGACTATCCTTATTGAATCGTTAGTGTGCAATTCAACCTTTTGTTCAAGAACTACGAAAATGTTGTATGTGCAATCTGTAATATGTGTTTCTGATCATAGTCTTGGTCCTCTAGATATTTTAGACTTCAACTGTGTACGTAACAAGATTTCAAGTAAATAAATTCAAAACACGCTTCATTTCAAAACGTTAAAAGTTTACTAGTTCAATATGACAAGAAAATGTGTAATCGCAAAGGGGAAAGACTGTGTTAATGAAATGTTGAAGATCGAACCTGTTTTTCATAATGATGTCCTCTGGATCGATCAACTTGCATTCAACCACTTGTTTGCCACCTGACCGAGTCAATCGTACACTCCTATAAGACGTGTGGGGTATCTGCTACCTCCCGCCATCGTAGGTATTGAGTAACTCTGTCATCTAAGACTTAGATGGATGGAAAGAGAGAGAGCACCCATCTTTTCACAAGTATAGGTTTTCCCGATATGTCTCTTGCATCCTCTCTACCTTCGAAAGGTAGGGTTAAGGCTGCGTATGCACCACCCTCTCCGACCCTCATTTGTGGAGTTACACTAGGTACTAGGTATGTTGTTCATTTTTCTTGCATCATGGTATAATGCAAACACAACCTTTGATCAGTCCATGTCCATCCTAAGCGCCTCCATCACCTGTCTTAACAATGTCTCCGTCCGAATGTCGTTTCTGCAAAAAAAAAAATTGAATCAAATCAACGGTATCATACCGAATATCAACCAAAAGGAGGGATGCAACATGAGGACTTCATAGAGATCACTCATCCTAGTACTACTCTTGCCCGAGTACACTTAACTTTGGTTATTTGTAAAAATCTAATTTTGGTATACAAAAAATTAAATTCTTCTTTCCATGTGTTAACTAGAACTTAAAAATGTTCAAAACTTACTCTCAACAACAAAAGCTCCAACCGATTTTCGAAGCCAAGACATGAATACACAAAAAACCAACCTCACCGCGAATATCCACATCACAGTTCTTGTCGTCATTTCCTCTTCCACCCTGTTTTTCCACGTCTCTTTCTTAACTCGTTATATCCAATTCATACACGCAATCATATTTTCTCATTGTGCTTGCCACGTTATGATCTCCATTTTGTATTGATGGTTGAGCTTCAACAAGTAGTTCTATATATATGTATATATATATGCATGTATACCTCCTTCTTTCAGCTAGAGAATAAGCCTTCTCCTTTTGTATCGTCTTCTTCCCAATGTGGTAACTCCTGTTTGTTCTGCTTGAATTCCTGAAATAGGATTCCCTTTTCGTGCTTACTTGGTAAGTCCCTTTTTTTCAACTTGAATCTAAACTACGATTCAAAATCCCTCAATCTTGATGGATGAAAGAAAGAAAAACATCAGAATTGTGATGTTTCCATGGTTAGCTCGAGGTCATATCAGCGCATTTCTAGAGCTAGCAAAGGCACTTGCAAAGAGAAATTTCATAACTTACATCTATACAACACATGCTAATCTCGCTTACTTCAAAGACACACTCTCTCCCGAAGAAACTAGGCACGTTAAGCTAATGGATATTGTACTCCCATATTTGCCTCATCTTCCTCGTACTTCACACACCACAGCTGGCCTTCACCCCCATCTCATCAACACTCTGAAACTGATCTTCCTTAAGGGAAAACCCGACTTTTTCACCATTCTTGAAACTCTAAAACCTGATCTGATCATCTATGATTTCCTCCTACCATGTATTCCGTTAATGGCTTCTACATTGCATTTCCCAGCTGTCCTGTTTCTCACCTCTGGTGCTGCAGCAAACAGTTATCACTATCATGTTAGAGATAACAATCCAAGTATTGATTACCCTTTTCCTGAAATCTTCTTCAAGGATCATGAACATAGGAGAAACAAGAGAATATTCGATTCTCTCGAGGATGATGGCATTGACGAGAAAAATGGTATCACGAGGTGCTTTGAAAGATCGAAAGGGATCATCTTGATCAAGACTTTCAAAGAGCTAGAAGGTAAGTTTATTGATTACCTCACGTTTTTGTTTAACAAAAGGTTTGTTCCTGTTGGACCTCTCGTTCGAGCATTTGATCAAACAGATAGTGGGGAGTATAATGACAAGATCATTGAATGGCTCAATGAGAAAGAAAAATGTTCAACAATTTTTATTAGTTTTGGGAGTGAACTTTACTTCACCAAAGAGCAAATTCAAGAAATGGCACTAGGGTTAGAACTTAGCATGGTGAATTTCATATGGGTGATTAGGTTTCCGGGGACTTATAAAATGGAGATTCGAGAAGTTCTACCTGAAGGGTTTTATGAGAGAAATTGGAATACAGGGTTAATAGTTGAAGAGTGGGCCCCACAAGGGAGAATTTTGAAGCATTCGAGTATTGCCGGATTCGTGAGTCACTGTGGATGGAATTCAGTAATGGAGGCACTTGGTTGTGGTGTTCCAATTATAGCCTTGCCCGTGCAACATGAGCAACCACTTAACGCGAGGCTATTGGTTAATGAGGTAAGGGTAGGATTGGAAATTCCTAAAGATGAAGAAGGAAAGTTTAGCAAAGAAGGAGTGGCTAAGGTTGTAAGAGAAATGGTGTTTGAGAGAAGGGGAGAGAGTGTGAGGAAAAAAGCAAAGGAGTTTGGTGAAAAAATGAGAGAAAATGGAGAAAATGACATTGAGAGAGTGGTGGATGAATTGGTTGATCTTTACAAGAATTCATTAAGGCCTACCTACAACTATAAACGACGATACTAAAGAAGACTTATGTACTATATCATAATAGATCGTATCTTTTTTTCTCTCTAGGTCTACCTACTACTAAAGAGGCCTAAGAAGCCTAGTGTATCGTATCATATTTAGTTTTCTTTTTAAAAAAAAAATAAACTATGTTTAAATCAACTGATATGTACTTCAACTATCTAAGGTTAACGTAATAAAAGTTTTGGTGATTTTTGCTTGTTTTAGTGCCCATCTTACATCTTACAACAAGAAGTGATGCAAAATATCTATATTAGAAAAGAGTTTTGAGTTATGTATATTATGAATATAAGAAATTTTTAAGGAGAACGCCTTATCTTACTATCGTAATTACATATAGATATCATTTGAGCGACCCTATTTGTATTAAAAATACAATAACGGTGTATATAACACTAAACACTAAAAAATAAATATAAAAAAAAAATGTAACTCTCTCTCCCTCTATGGGGTATGAAAGGATGGCATTTGCTTATTTTTCATTGTTGTATCATGTTTTGTAATTACCAAAGAAAGGATTAATTATTTAATCATAGTAGACTATAGTTGACTACTAAATTAATCACTCAACTCCACTTGACAACCCAATTATAAAATATTATAACAAGATAAAAAGCATTCATGTTGAAAATTGACTCACTTGTAATAGAAAAACAAATAAACAATATAATAAAAAAAAGGCTCCCTCAGCCTGTTATTCTCATTCATTCATTCATGGCTTCTTTCAAAGATTTCTCAGAAGTAATATTACATGACAAAGACAGTAAATTTAAAGGTCGAACTCATCAAATTTAACTCCGAGATCTACCTCTACCCGAGGGGGCACCTTTCCGTTGGGCCGAAAGGAAATGAAAAATGAGAAGAACAGCCAACATCAGATGTCATACAGTAAATTACACAGTACAGGTTACATCCTCTTTACCTCATGTATGAGCCATCAAGAAAAATGAGAGGAATTTACAACTCTGCATCAGCTACTGAAAACATTTGATAGCAACAAATAAGTGAAAAACAACACCAGGAAACAATAGGCTAAAAAGGAAAATAAAATTATTTCCACCAGAACCATACAACTTTGTAGATCTGCCACAGAATGTCTTATCCAGATGAACCAGATATCCTCAGTACATGCAGAGACGGAAACATGACTTTCAATCTCCCGGGAGTCTGGACAGACTGCCACGGTGTCCTCCCTCATCGATCAAAGCAGCACAAATCAGGTCAAGAGTAGATAATATAACGCGAGACTCACATTAAGGGTGTGCCTGGTAATGACAGAAGTCATTTTCCAGAAAATGTTTTCTGAAAACATTTATTAAAAACTGTTGTGCTTTGATGAAAATTGAGTATTAAAGATTGCTAATAATATATCTATTAGTTAAGAGTTGAGATGATGGGAACATGAGTCATTCTCCCCTTTTCGCAAAAACTGTTCTCCGGAAAAGTAGTTTCTGGCAACCAAATACCAAAAATTTCCTTCTTTTTAACATTATAAGGATCATCATCTATAATAAAAATAGACTATTTATTGAAAATGTTCTCCAAAAAATATTCCAGTTCCAAACACACCTTAAGTCAAGCGTAAACCTCTTCAAGAAAGTTCAGATGATGAGCAGCAACTTTTGTCATTAATAATCTCGATTTATATTTGATAATATCATAAAAGTATAATAAGTAAAACATTCCTTCAAAGAAAGAAATGTATTTCTTGAATCAATATTGAGATAAGTACTGCCTGCGGAAACAGCAAATTTACTTTTAACCTTGCTATACTAAATATCTTCCAAATGTTCCAGGAATATGCTAAATTGTGTTGTTAGCTCAAAGAACCATAACTATACAGGAGTGCTGAAAAGCATACATTTTTCGCATATGCAATGTATATTAATAATATTACCCTGTTAGTACAAAGGCTATCAATCCAAAACTCTTACGACTGCTAAGTGACGAATATTGTTAAATTTAATTAAGGGCATTAACTGCAACCACATTCAGTTATGTGAACTCTCTCTCCGCACTAGCCAACAAAAAATAGATATGTTTCTAACTAATGTTCTACAGAAAGACAACACATACTTATGTATGTACAGGAAGTCTGTTGATTGTCAAGGGAAAAGTAAGCACAACTTCAATCTAATAGCTAGCAATAACAGATATATATCATAAGATCTTATAAAATAGGTCTGACATCTTATAATTTCACTTCCATTGGAAAAACCAGACTAGAGAAGTTGAACTTAACCAGACAAAACAAATCATGAAGCTGTAAAATAGTAATAGAACAAGCCATGAATTGTCTTATCTGAGACAGACGTTGCATGAGTCCTCTCTATGGCCAGGAGAGGTGCTGCACATGCAAGCATCATCTTTGGACTTTAGGAGGCAAAGGATGCATGCATCCCAATGTCGCCCTGGAAAATGTACATGTTCCATGAATAAAAAAATTGAGAAATAAATACACATGCTTCCAGATTGCGATGAGACCAAAGAAACGAGTAAATAAAGTCCATAAGTATGTTACAACAAGGTGCAAAGAATTCACCAAATTCAGTGCTTGATTAGAAGTTTCTGAAGTCTGAACAGATGAACAAAATTGTTCTATTTGCATCAAAAAGATGGCGCTCCATATATAAGAGATACATTACATCCTAAAAACTAAATGTCTTCTTATGCATGCATCCACTCTGGATTTCTTACAATTCAGAAAACAATTATTCAGCAAAAGTTAATGTCTCCTTAATTGAAGAAAGAATTTTGTTTGTAACATTTAGACTTTGACATTTCGATAGCAGAAATGTCATTGACTAGATCATGAATGAGGGAAAAGTGATTTTATAGCTAAATGCTGTTACTGGAAAATACAGAAACTACTTCAGAAATAACAACACGAGACTTTTTTCAGTCTTTCATTACAAAGTTCAAAGAAGTATGAATTTAAGAATAATTGAGTCAATTTCTTTCCAGGAATATACGGCATGATAACATAGTTACAAATTGGCCAACTGTCTACAAAGTGGAGATTAACGACAAAGAGAGAATTAACAAATGTGTCACCTATTTTCATGCTTTTACAATGCTACTCAAGTCAAAACATAGATGTGGTCCTACCATAAAAAAGAAAGCCAAAATGGAGAAATTAATTATCAACTGACATGAATACCAGTTCCAGAAGAAATTAAAGTCCTCAGCTCTGTTAAATGTTCGTCATTTGAAATATGAAGTGCAATGCGGAGATTTGTCAGTAACGCTTCTTGTTCCCAACTCAAGGGACCAGAAGCATACAATGCCTCCAAAGTGCAGCGATAAGCATGCAACTCCAAGTCACGAATATTCCCTGCTATATTTTTCTCCGAAGAAACACGGCAGCTTTCCTCCTCATGTTCTTCTGCTGAACTTTGAAAGGACTCTGCATCACTGCACAGAAGATCAGGTACTTGACAATGAACTTCAGCTGAAAAACTAGAAATTTTATTTGGACTCTCATGATTAATACTACAACTACCAACAGAGCATGCATCACTATCAGAATCATTAGATTCTCCAATTCTTGCAGGGGAATAGCCATTGGTACCACTTCTTTTTGCAGGGTTTGAACCATAATATCCATCAGACCAATTGTTAAATGAAGCACTCACATACTTCTCATCCATCCAATTTCCGTTCCACCTGGTAATATCATGTGTGTTCCCCTCCAAGGCAGCTGGAACTATTTTACGTCTCTTAAAATCTCTCTCACCTTCCACTACCTCCTGAATGTTTCTAGATGATTCGTCTGGCACCCTCTTCAGCAACACCAAAGAGCTAGCATTACACTTCTTCCTTTTAAGATTTCCCTGAGCAGCCAAATCTCCATCTCTAACATGAAATCCATTCCTAGCACTTAAGACAATGCTCACCTTTTTATAAGATCTTTGAGCAGGAAGCTGGTCAGGTTTCGCACACGTTCCAGATCCCTGTAAGTGAAAACCAACATAGGGTCAATTTAAAATGAATCACAAAGAAGGGTTTTACTTTCCAATAAGACATTTCCTAAACAATGAAACAAACAACCAACAATAAGCAAAATAAATAAAGAGGCTTGTATAAAAGGCCAAAACACCAAAAAAATAAACAAAACTTGCACAAATTCCCAGACATCATTAAGAATTTCTATCTGATAAATTTAATAGATAAGAGTGGGATGCTTAATTTCTTCCGTCAATATTACTAGCTAATAAAGTCAATATTCAAAACAAAGAATGAAGAAGGGCGGGCCAGATTAAAGACTTGCCTTTCCAATCAAGTGCCATTTTTCATCTTGCCAGCATTGTCGCACTCTGGTGTTCGATCTATGAACTCTAATCTCCTGTGAACATCCAGTTGGGTGTACTAAATAATAGTCTCTATTGAAAACCTTCACAATAATAGAAGTTTTCCAACAACAATCATTAAACACCTCGATAATTTGACCACTTTGCCCATTCTCCACACCCTTTGAAGGAAGGGGGCATGGTCTGATCTCCCTCCTCGAAACCCTCTCAGACCTCGCTTCACTTTCCATACAAGTATAATAATCATACCTCACAGAGTAAGTATGTCCATTACCCGATACGATCTCTGCAGGACACCATGATACAGGTGAATCCTTCCTGTTCATCACCTCAACTTTACTTCCTTTTTTAAACCTCATGACTATAATCCAAACCAAAACCAATAACCTGATTTTCACAAAGAAAACAACAGTTACACATCGAAACCCAAAAAAGCTTGTCCAAGTAGAAATAATATCAGATCAAACTTAGAAATGAACAAAAATGCCATTAAAATCAAAACATAATTTGACTAAATCCAAAGTAATACACAACAGAAAAACATCAAAATTGTTTCTTTTACATCAGATGATTCACATAACAAAATTTCTACTCAAACCCCCCAAAAATGAACAAGCTCTAAGCACACAAAAAATAAACCCACAAAAATAAAATTAAAATAAACCAAAAAGTACTAATTTTTTTCAAAAATACTAGATGAAATCACATTGATCAAATTTTTAAATAAAAAATTCAATGAACAAACTACAGTAGGGACTAATCACAAACATATATACAAAAACTAAACAAATTAATAACAAAAACTCAAATCTTTACCAATGAATTGCAAAAAAAATCAAAAAATTACGAAAAAATTCAATCGATTCAAACAATTAGGCATAACAAATTCAAACAAAAATACATAAAATTAAAGACCTTTTCTTGAAATTGATGAAATATTTCAGCTTATGAAGTTGTTGATCGCAACTTAGATTGATTTATCGAAGAAATCAAACGAATTTTCGCTTTTTTTTCGATTTGGGCAAATGGTATTTTTTGTGTTCTAGGGTTTGGTCATTGGGGAAGAAAAAAAAATATTAAATAAGAAAAAAAGAAAATAATTCAAATATTTATATTTTTTGAGAAAGAAAAAAAGAAAAAATATTGAAAAGGGTATTATGGGAAGATAATAAAATATTTGATTCCAAAATTTGATCCACCAGAAAAACTTGAAAGGGCCCCACAAAAAATGCACACTTTTTATGTTTGTTTCAAAGAATATTTTTATTAATATTATTTTTTTAATGGTTACTTACAAGTTACAAATCCATTTTGTGTGACATGAAAATATTCTCCACATAAATATATTTTTTTTGGCACACTTGTTGACACGTCATTTTATCGAGGACATGACTTTAAATAAAATAATTATAAAAATTAACGATCGAAATAAAAGGTTAGATTCGTCTCAAAAATAAGTATCATTTTAGAAATTTAACAGTTTTGCATTTTAAATCACTTCTTCTTAAAGAAACGTATGATAAATAGGAGTAATTTGGTCAATTATACATTTCATTTATTATTTTACTTGATCGACGTGAAATGAGCTTTTAATGAAGCTTATTTTGTGATGGGATACCTTTCCATTATCTTATTTTGTGATTCTTATCATTATATGTTTTTTCTACGATTAACGCATATTTGTTATTGTTGTTGTTTTCTCTACAAAAAAATAAATTAATATGACTTAGTCAATGTGTGTAGAATTGTTTTACGTGGGTAAGAGTTTTTTGAAAATAATATTTATGTCTTTACGAGATAGGATTGAGGTTATATATATATCATTTTATCTTAAATACAGTTATTAAATTACTTTAAGTATATTATTATATTATTATTGATGACATCATTTTATTTTGTATGATCATATTATTGAAAAATGATCAGATTTTGGAAATTAATTATTGTATGAATTCTGATATATAATTTTTTTTCATAAAAAAATTATTTTGCTAATTTTGTATTGTATCATTTAGCTAATGAAATATGGGATAATTTAGCAAATTAAATACCTTGATTTCATTTTTTCTATTTTTATTTGCTTTAAAACAAAGTTAAGTTACCAAACTTTGATCTTAAACGCCATATATTTTATGTTTAATACAAAATTATATAAATATCCGCCTATAGAAGTAAATGCACAACTAATCCAGTAATTAATCCTCATATTGCAATCTCTAAAAGGTAAGTTCATTATAACATTATTAATAGATTAAAGATTAAATATCTAAATAACTTTTTAAATTTAATACGATTGAAAAATTTGATGTACTAACTTAATTTAGCAATCACGATACACTTTTCAATTTAATAGAAACGTATCTCTTAAATAATGAAGTCAGAAAAACCAATTATGTGAGCGTTACTTGTCGATTATATACATGATGCAATTTGAGATTCAAGATAACACGCAATAAATTACATTCTAACACTAGATAGGAAATAAGGAGAAAAAAAAATAGATTTTAATATTGAAATAATAATTAGAAAAGAATTTAATTAATTAGATAAAAGTAAATATTAATTCAAGAATGAAAAGAAATTGAACCTATACAAAGAAATATATATACTTACCTAAGTAATCGAACATGTTTAATTGATAAAATTAATGAATGTTTCTTAAAAAAATTTAAAAGAGCTTGAACATCAAACGAAAATATTATGTTCGTTTTAATTTGTTTGTCCTGATTTGATTTGACATGAAGTTTAAAAGAGTAAAAAGATAATTTTAAATGGTATAATCTTGAATTAAATATATGTTTAATATACCATAATGTTATTTAATTTTATATCTTAAACATGTCAAGTGAAAAATTAAAATTAAAAAGTTGCTTATAAAACAAACAAAAAAAGAGATAACTTTTTTTTAGACGAATAAAAAAATGTGACAAACAAATTGAGAGTTTGAGATAGATGAAATATTCTATTCTTTCTTCTCCCGTTGTCCTCGTTACATGTGTCTAAAATCAAGGGTGGATCCTATTTTATAGTATCGGATTCATCTAAAGATATAGATAATATCTCTGACGTAAAACATAAATTTATCTATAAATTTTTTACTAAAATTGCTTTTATTAATTTAAAAACAGTATGGTTAAAATAGTAAGGCTCTTCAAAAATTAAATTTATAGTATTTTAGTTTTAAATTCACCTCGATTTATAATATCATAACAACATATTTTATGACTAGAACGACTTCGATTTCTACTTATCTATATTTTCTTGCTCTCAATGTCATTCGCCTAATGAGAGTCGATTTAAATAATCTTTTTAAAAAGTCAATATGTTAAAAATAGAATTTCGATATTAAAATTTATACGAAAAATACTACTAAATTTCACTTTTTTTTCATTTCAATATAATTAAAATATATATATTTTTTAAATTATTGATTAAAATTTATATAATTTAAATCTCGAACACCAACAAAGTGGAGACATGAAACCTTCCTAATTTTGTTCAATTATATGGACAGTCAAAATTGACAAAAGGTAAGAGACCAAAAGGAGAATTATTATGCACAATAATAAGATGAAAACATAAAGAAAAGTTTGACAACCATAAAAGAGAATTAGTCCAAAGTTTGGACTAATTATAATAAAATATTATTGCAAATTGAACCAACCCTTAAATCTAATAAAATATATTGCCATCCATGGTTAAATGGAATTTCAAAGGTTCAAAGCTTCTTTTTTGTTTTCCCGTCGGATTTTAATTTGGAGTCTACTAATTCAAATTTAAGTAAAATATAATTTATTTAAATGAAAAATATTTTTAATATGAGTTTTTTATATTTATAATTTGAATCTTATTCATTCCACCACAATCCTCGTTCGTAAAGGGTCAAATAGGACAATAACAAAAACCATGTTTTCCTTTGTAGTTTTGGACCTTGGAATAGTATGGAAGTTTTATCTTAATTAGCAAATTAGTGCACTAATTTCACACAAATGCTAATTAATAAAAGTAAGAAGCTTTTTTTTTTGTTATTGTTAAAGTCCTTTAATTTTGATCATGAAATTAGGGACATACAATAGTTTTTTTATTTTTTTAAAAAAATTGGATAATGCACAAGTACCCTCTCAATCTATGTCCGAAAACCCAGAGACACACTTATACTATACTAAGGTCCTATTACCCCTGAACTTATTTTATTAATAATTTTCTATCCCTTTTCGGCCTACGTGACACTATTTTGTGGGTCCAACGCTGGTTGACTTTTTTTTTCCAAGTTAGTGTCATATAGGCCGAGAAGGAGTAAAAAATTACTTACAAAATAAGTTCAGGGGATAATAGGACCTACAAATGTGTCTCTGAGATTTCAAACATAGATTAAGAGGATACTTGTACATTTTTTTTTAAAAAAAATTAATAAAGTTAACGATTAATAACAAACTTAAAATATTTTGATTTTTCAAATTTCTATCATATGTGTGAGTGTTTAAACTAATCACCAAATATTTATTAAAACACCCCTTAACTAATAGGTGGTCATTTTTCCAACTGTTATTCAGGTAGAAAGTAAACAATATATAGGTAAAGATTATTTTAATAAACATTTAAGGGGTAATGCTCAAGTACCCCATCAACCTATGCTCGAAATCTCAGAGACACACTTATACTATACTAAGATCCTATTACACCCTGAACTTATTTTATTAATAATTAATTACCCCTTTTCGACCTACGTGGCACTATCTTGTGGGCCCAACGATGGTTGACTTTTTTTTCAAACTAGTGCCACGTAGGCTAAAAAGGGGGTAGAAAATTACATATAAAATAAGTTCAGGGGGGTAATAGGACCTTAGTATAATATAAGTGTGTCTCTGAATTTCGGACATAAGTTGAGGAGGTACTTGTGCATTATCTCAACATTTAATGATATTTCGAATAATACATATAGTTCAGATATAAAACCGAAAAGATCAATAAATATTTTTAGTTCATGTGAACTAAGAAATAGGATATTTGTTAATGTGCATGTGTCATCACATCAAAAATATAAAATATATATTATAATAGTAGTTTTTTGCAATTATCGAAAACCTCATTATAAAGAAACTAAACATGCATATTATTATTAAATTAAATAGTGGTTAATTAATTAAAGAGTTGATATATACTAGGATAAATACTTTATCCATCATAGAAGTTATCTCAACCCAAATGACAGATCTAAATAGTTGTCAAAATCTCATCATACAATTTATTCTCTTCTTAATAATTTTTAATTAGTAAAATTTAACTCTAAAATTAATAAGTACTACCTAATATATAATTATTTTCATTGATAATTTCCTATTCCTGGGAGTATATTCCATGCATAGACCAATTAGGTCAAATAACCGAATTTTTAAATAATGTTAATTCAAGCAAAAAATAAAATACAAACAACGATATTTTCTGAATAATCTCACAAAATAACATTTGAAAAGAACAAATGTGCGTGAACTTTATCTCTCTAATATAGATAGAGATCAGATTATTTCGGAAAATCCTTGGCTTAAGAGAAACCGTCTTAGAAAAAATAATTTTGAAAAAGTATAAAAAAAAATAAAAAATCAGAACAATAAAATATTCAAGATGCAAAAATAACAAATAATAACGGAAATCAAAACACAAAAATTTTATGGACAGAGGAGAAAAAGGTAAAATGTAATGCAATTACATAAATTGTGATTTATAAGTTTATTATATTTGAAAAATTAGCGTGACTTTATTGCAAAATAAAAGTATTCTAGATACTATATTTTATATGGTTTGAATAATTGTTCCACACAATTGGCTTACTTTTTTTAAAAATATATAGAAAATTGTGTTGATCATAAATTGCCTCTCTAAATTGTGTTCAGAAGAATTCAGTAGCTTTTTCGTAAACTCTATATTTGTGTTAGAAGATTATTTAATCGAAGATTATTCAACAAAATTAATTGTCGATTGTTAATGAAATTTAAAACCTCAAACTCTTAATTCTAACTTCACCTCTGATTGATGTATATATTGTTTGATGTGTATTTTTCTTCTTTTTTATCGGTCATTCAATATCTGATTAAT